TCTTTGAGATATAATTTGTCACATATAAATATTGCTACCCAAGCTTTTTTTTCATTTCCATTCACCTGAAAAACCTTTGTCCATCCCTTCACCGTCAGTCTGTGTGTCTTTTTTTCTGAGGTGGGTTTCCTGTTGACAGCAGATATATGGGTCATGTTTTCTTATGCTCTCAGTAACCCTATGTCTTTTGATTGGGGCATTTAATCCATTTACATTTAAAGTTATTATTGATAGGTTGTAGGTAACTTTCTGTCTCTCTCTGGCAGCCTTTAAGATTCTTACTTTGTCATTGGTGTTTGCCAATTTAATTATAATGTGTCTTGGCATCGGTATTTTGGGGTTCATTTTGTTTGGGACTCTGTGAGCTTCTTGGATTTGTGTGAGTTTTTTCTTTCCTATATCAGGGAAGTTTTCTGTCATTATTTTTTAAAACAGGTTTTCTATTCCTTGCTCCATTTCCTCTCCTTCTGGCACCCCTATTGTGTGGATGTTTCATTTCCAAAGTTCTCTTAGGCTCTCCTCCTGCTTTAAAATTTTTTTTTTCTAGAAGCTGCTATGCTTAGGTATTTTTTCCTACCTCTTCTTCTAGCTCACTGATGTGGTCGTCTCCTTCTTCTAGTCTACTGTTGATGCTTTCTAGTGAGTTCTTTATAGCAGTGATGTTATTTTTCATTTCTTCTTGGTTCTTCTTCATTTCCTCTTGGTCCTTACACATATTGTTGAATTTGTCTTCCATTCTTTTCATCCACCTTATGACCATTTCTCTGAATTCTTTCTCTGACAGGTTGCTTGCCTCCATTTCATTTACTTCCTTTTCTGGTGATGCCTGTTTTTCTTTCGTATGCGGACTGTTTGTTAGTCTCCTCATGATCACTTTCTCCAGGTGTTTGGTTATGTAGTTATCTCTCTGTTTTACGTGAGGAGGAGCAAGGCTTGTCTGAGTCCATGTAGTCGCGCTGCTTGAGATGATCCCTGGATCCCGTGGTTGCAGGGTCTCTGGATGTATACACTTCCAATATCAGCCACTCAAGATGGTGCAGTCTTTGCAGCTGAGCCGGCTGCTCCCTGCTGGCTTTCTTTTGCAACTTTTTTTTAAAACAACTTTATTGCATTATAATTCACATAATATGCAATGTACTCATTTTAGCTATGCAGTTAAAAGGATATTCTCAGGTCTGTGCAACCATCACCACAGTAAATTTCAGAATATTTTCATTACCTCAGAAAGAAACTTATTCCCTTTAACAGTCACTCCACATTTCCCCAAACTGCTCCCACACCACTAATCTGCCATCTGTCTTTATAGACCTGCCTATTCTGGACATGCCATACAAATGCAATCCTGCAACCTTTCTGACTGGCTTCTATCACTTAGTTTAGTGTTTTCAAGTTCCATCCACATAGTAGCAGGTGTCAGTACTTCATTCTTTTTGTGGCTGAATAACATTCCATTTATGGAAAGACCACACTGTACTCATTAGTTGATAGATATTTTGGTTTTGTTTTGCATTTTCCTGATGATTAGTGATGCTGAGCATCTTTCCACATGCTTATTGGCCATTGTACCCATTACATTTTTTATAAGTTGCAAGATATAGCTTACATGAAAAAAAAAAGCACAGAGACCTTTTATTTAAAAGAATAATGATAAAGCACCCATATCTAGGAACAGAACATTACCAGAACCCCAGATAATGCCTGGGTGACTTCATAAACTACAGCCCCTTGCCTCCAACTCCAGAGACAAGCACTTTTGGTATTTGTGTCCCTCATCTCTTTACTTTCCATGTGTCCCCTCTCTGTGTGCCCTGAAGAATACAATCCAGTTTTGTCAACTTTTAAATATATATATACAGCTGGGCAGTTTTGCCAACTTTTGAATTGATAAAGATAAAACAATTGTGTGGAAATCTTTCAATTACTTCTTTTCTTCCCTACTGTGTTTCTGAGGTTGACCTCTGTTTGTGTGGCTGGCTGTAGTTGTTCACTGTCATTGCCCTATTGCAGTGATGGCGAACCTATGACACGCGTGTCAGAGGTGACATGCGAACTCATTTTTTTGGTTGATGTTTCTTTGTTAAATGGCATTTAAATATATAAAATAAATATCAAAAATAGAAATCTTTGTTTTACCATGGTTGCAAATATCAAAAAAATTCTATATGTGACATGGCACCAGAGTTAAGTTAGGGTTTTTCAAAATGCTGACACGCCAAGCTCAAAAGGTTCGCCATCACTGCCCTACTGTGTCCTGTTGAGTATACATGCCTCAGTTCATCCTTCATACTATGACGGATGGACATCCAGATGGTGTCCCATTTGGAATTATCATAAATACTGCTTCTCTGAGCAGCCTGGAGCCTCTTTCCCCTCCACATGAGCAGGTTTCCCCAGGCTCTGCTGCTTGCACTCTTCAGCTTTCTCAGGCTGCTGTGTTTGCACTCAGTTTGTGTGAGTTCTAGGGATCCTGCAGCCTCACCCACACTCAGTAGTGTCAGAATTCATTCTGAACATCTTCCAGCATCTCTTGTTTAAGTCTCTGACCGCACTAAAATCTCAGTCATCCAGGCCATCTGTCTCAGGGACACCTGCCTGTTCCTGGGTCCACATGCATCACACCTCTGAGCCTCGCTCTTTCCCACTTTTCAGGCCAAGGTGGGCTGGCCTGTGGGAACTCTCTTCTCACTTATGATACAGAGGGGCATCTGTGTTATTTAGGTGGCTACTCATCTAGCAGCTCCAAGTGTGTGAAGGTCATATGAGGGTTCTGGCACATAGTATGTGCTCTGTCTCACTAGGTGTCCTGATACCAGAGACTCAACCAGCCAGGATCTCTGTCCCTGAACATTCTGGATGCTTAAAACATTGCTGACTTGTTTGATTATAGGTACTCTAGTCTAAACACAGGTAATCTTCCCTTCCTGTTGAGTATATTGACCAAGTATTGGTCACCTCCTCCTGGAAGCAGAACAATTAGTGCTGGGTGGACCCTGAATACAGGTCCATTCTAGGTGACAAATCCCTCTGTCCCCAGCAGCCGCATAGGTCCAGGCCCAGAGGCAAAACTAACAATTACTTTTTGAATGTCTGATTTTGTTATAGCATTCTGATTTTTGTTAGAAAACATAAAATTGCATTTGCTCCATGTTTCAGTGAAGGCAACTGAGCCTCAGAGATGGGGTGTGACAACTCCAAGGGCAAATAGCAAGTAAGCAGCAGGGAAAGCATTCACACCCCTCAGCAATAAGCCCCTGCCTTTGAATGCCTCAAACACCAGTATGCCTGCTCTAGGAGTCAGTTGAGCCTATTTTTCCCTGTAGATGGAATCATACTAACCTGATGAAGTGAAATAAGATGCTATATATAGAAGCATGTGTATAAGTGATTAATAAATGTTCATTTACTTTTTCACTTATTCTTTCACTGTGTAACAAGAAAAAGTATTTTGACAATCTGGATGAAGAACTAGGAATATGACACACTATGACCCAGAAACTATGCTCACTAATACATCCCCATTTCAGTGCCTGCTATACAGTAGCAGCTTAATACTTGTCCATTAGGTTGACATCAGGCCAAAGATGATGAGGAAAGAAGAGAAGTTTCAGTTCCAAATATACTTGTTTCCACATTACATAGAGTTAAAAAGAAGGAACGAAGGGAGGGAAGGAAGGAAAGAAAAAGTAAAAAACAACCTAAATATCCTGTGCTATGGGGGCTTTGGTAAATGATGTCTCCTCTTACTGCTAGGATATTCCAAAGCGGGGGTCAGCAAAATATGGCCTATGGGCCATCTCTAGCCTACTGCCTATGTAGTTAAATAAAGATTAAATGAAAACCAGCCATTAATTTTGCCTTTGAACTTCACAACAATGGAATCCTATATTATGTTCTTTTTAGTGTCCAACTTTTTTCACACAACATTACATCTAGAAGATTTGTTCTTATTGTATTAGTAGTTCATTCTTTTTCACTATTATCTAGTATTTCATTGCATGATTATAATTAATAACTATTTATTATTATTCTCATCTACATATGGGGAAACTGCAGTACAGAGATTTAAAGTAAGTTGCCCAAGGACACACAGCAGGTTCATGTTAGATCTGGGACTTAAGCCCAGGGTCCAGAATCTGTGCTCCTCTTCAACTCCCACCCCATATAGTACTGCCTCTCATGTTATGATGGTGGAAGCCCAAGGGGCCTTGGGAACTCAGAAGAAGGGCGACAGCATCCAGACTGGGAGCCAGGGATAGATGTCAAGGAAGCTTCAATCAGAGCAATGGGTTTCCAAACTTATATGTCCATAGTATCTGGCAGGTGTAATAGGTGATCAGAGCAGTTGATCTCTGAAAAACCATAACTTAAGGTCAGGTAGGTAATAAGGAGCAGTGAGGACTATGGCAAATTGATACCAACTCATGAGGATACCAACTCATGAGAAAGACAGCTGCTGGTATAGCTCCAAGTATTATTGCCATATGACAAGGCTGGCAGAGGTTGTGGTGAGCCAGGACACGGCAGGACTACAGCTGGCATTTCTTGCCAGATTCTCTGCCAGGAAGTCAGCACCACTTATTAAATAATTTGACTGTCACCCCAGAGTTGCCAGATGCACTTTCTGTTTGCCAAAAACAAAAGAAAACAAAACAAAATGAATGCACATGGGAGTCTGCCTTTTAAATATTCCTGGTTTTTAAATGTTGGATCACAAACCATTTTAAACCTGGGCAAGGCAAAGAGAACCTATGTGTGTTCTGGACTGGCCTGAACTGATCTAAGCGCATCTACAAACCGCACAGGAGTTGGGAAGTAAGGAAGGCAAGTTAGTTCCAGGTGGAAGGCACAGCACAAGGGCTGGAGATTAGAGGAATTTGAATCCAGGCCTGAGTTTCCTGCACCAAAAGAAAAAACAAAAACAAAACCCAGCTAGTTGGGGCACGGGTGGGCCAGGCTGGGCTGGGTCCTGCATGCAATGACCTGCATTGTGCTCTTCCCTCCCACTCCTGCAGATCCTGGAGGAGAACATGAAGCTGGAGTGTAAGTGCCATGGAGTGTCAGGTTCCTGTACCACCAAGACCTGCTGGACCATGCTGCCACAGTTCAGAGAACTGGGCTACGTGCTCAAGGACAAGTACAATGAGGCTGTACACGTGGAGCCTGTGCGTGCCAGCCGCAACAAGCGGCCCACCTTCCTGAAGATCAAGAAGCCACTGTCATACCGCAAGCCCATGGACACAGACCTGGTGTATATAGAGAAGTCACCCAACTACTGTGAGGAGGACCCAGTGACGGGCAGCGTGGGCACGCAGGGCCGCATCTGCAACAAGACAGCCCGCCAGGCCAGTGGCTGTGACCTCATGTGCTGCGGCCGTGGCTACAACACTCACCAGTATGCACGGGTGTGGCAGTGTAACTGCAAATTCCACTGGTGCTGCTATGTCAAGTGCAACACCTGCAGCGAGCACACCGAGGTGTACACGTGCAAGTGAGCCCAAGACCGCACTGCTTGCGCCCTCAAGTCAGGTGCACTGTGGGGAGGACCAGTGTCCAGCTGCACTTACCCTGCAGGTCACTTCCCAGATCTCCATAGGGAACTGCAGGAATGATGCGCAGTTTCCTGCAAACACTTTGGGGAAAGGGCTCTCCAGAGCCCCTAAGCATTCTAGTCCATTCCCAGCCTGCTCTGCCCTACCCCAGACACTGCCTGGGCCTCCTCGCTGCAGCAGAGCCTTGCACAGCAGGAACCCTGGATCCTTGGGCCTCATCATAGCAATATTTAACAATTTTAATTTTAAAAATAATATTAATTTATTTAATTAAAAAGAATCCTTCCACCTCATTGGGATCCGTTTTCTGCAAAGTGGACTGATTGCTTTCTTTGCAGGAAGATTTTGTCACTGGGACAAGGAACAAACTAGAACTGTACATAATTATTCTTTATGCAGGTATTTCTACTAGTTGATTCTCCAAGTATCCCCTGCACTAGATGTTTAAGTACAGAGCAGATGCTATA